AGAAATAAGAAAACTCTAGAAATGACAGATACATCTCACTGCCTGGAGTCACCCAAAGTTCTTTTGTACCGTTGGGGCATCCATCTTCAGCCTTCAGGCCCAAAGTATCCAGCAGACATTTCCATGAAGCAGGCAATTTCAAAGACAGTTTAGTCACTTTCTGCTGTGTCCTGCAGAATGTCTCGCAGACTCTTTCATGAGTCAGGAACCCCGAAAGACCATCTCACCTTTAGGCAAGTTCAGCAGTCCTCTCTCTGCGGGTTCTCTTTGTCCAGTTTATGCACAGTCCAGGCAAGAGCAGTTTCTTGCCCAAATGGCTATCAAACTCCATAACGATCCTCTTCGATGCCCATCTTCCTCTCGAAGTAGATTGGTGCTGCCAGGAGCAGACGTGTCTCATTGTCATGAAAAGTCCTAAGTTATTAAAATATTTAAAATGCCATATTCTATAATCTTTGAAAAATATGAAGAATGCCTATCTGAAATATATCTCTATATATCTAGAAAATCAAACTAACATGACTACAAGCTTGACTATTATTGATGATTATCCATTAGCAACCTATATTTCCTAATTATACATTACATTTTTAAATGAATTACACAATCACAATACCTTAATCAAGAGCAGAAATACATATACATATAGCAAAATTGACCTTAAAATCCACACCAATGCAAATTATTCATATCTATATCATTTCCCCCTTTAAATGTAAAAGAACATTTATAAACAATATTTTGGGAACATGGGCGCAGTTTTTTCTCTCCAAACTGCTTCCTGCTGAATGGGGGAGCTGTTAATCAGAACATTTAGGGTGTAACCTGTGTGCCAGGTTTATCTCAGTTGGCAGTTGAGTGAAGTAATTTTTTGAGGGTGTTCACAGGAACTTTTCGGGAGGTCATGCCATATCAGGATAGATGCAATCCACAGGGTGTGGTCCTCTGTGAAAACAAAAGAAGACCCTCTCCAAAGCATCATATCCTTAGACCCAAATTTTGAAATCGTAATACCCTTATATCCATTCTGGTTTAGCTTGGCAGCCCATGTAATGAAATGTCTCTCTGTACTTAGCTCCTTCACAGTCAAAAATTTTAAAGAAAACACAATGTACATAATCCAAACTCTCTGTGAATTTTCCATTTTTACGTGGCTTATTTTTCTTTATTTCTTTTAATCTCTTAACTATCTGTATTTTGTCTCTTTAAAGACTTTACCTTCTTTTTAAACCATTAACTTTATTCTCTATATTCTTTTTCTTCTCTCTCTCAAGCCTATGTACGTTCATCTAACAGTGTGACTTTTATGTCTGAATTTGTTTTACTGTGAATCTGTAACATTTTTTTTTACTATCCAGGAGCATTTCTTAATATGTTAAGCACTGCCGGGCGGTGGTGGCGCACGCCTTTAATCCCAGCAGTCGGGAGGCAGAAGCAGGCGGATCTCTGTGAGTTCGAGACCAGCCTGGTCTACAAGAGCTAGTTCCAGAACAGGCTCCAAAACCACAGAGAAACCCTGTCTCGAAAAAAACTAAAAAAAAAAAAAAAAAAAAAAATGTTAAGCACTTCTTAAAAACTTAAATTATCCATGTACAGGTAATACGGTACCCCCCCCCCTTTTTTTTTTTTTTTTGGTTTTTCGAGACAGGGTTTCTCTGTGGTTTTGGAGCCTGTCCTGGAACTAGCTCTTGTAGAGCAGGCTGGTCTCGAACTCACAGAGATCCGCCTGCCTCTGCCTCCCAAGTGCTGGGATTAAAGGCGTGCGCCACCACCGCACGGCTACGGTACCGCCTTTGTCCTGCCCAGTGGAAACAGTAATTATGGTAGTTCCTGCCTGAGACCAGCACAGTTCAGCTTGGCGGAGCTGAGCCTCTCCTGCCTCAGAGCCATTTGGTGCCCCTGAGCCACACACAGTTCCAGGCACACAGCAGTCCACATTGCCATAAAGCAAGCCGTAGAGCTTTACTCCAAATGCTCCATTCAAAAGCTCTGTCTCCCACAGGAGCCAGACAGAGATCGCAATGGCGGCATAGCCCAGAAAGCGGCGGTTTAAAACTGCAGCTTTTTTCCTGTTAAGGCTGCTGAGTCAGGAAATTCTCTCTGCAGCACGCCACCTACAAGCAGCAAAAAACTATGTTAAACTCTCTCTTCCTTATTTTTAAGCTTTCTCAGGTATTTACATGGATTTAGTCCATCACATCTGGGCGCCACTCTGTTGAAATAGGAGTGGCGGGGCTGCGTCCCTGGCACCTGGCTGCCCCCACGGCTAGCTTTACCCGAAATAATTACACGGAAACTGTATTCTTTTAAACACCGCTTGGCCCATATATCTAGTTTCATTGCTTAACCAATGAAATCAACAGATTGATATATGAGACTCCCACATCATTTAAAAATATAATACGAGAAAGAGAAATGGTGACTACATCGCTGGAGGTGGATACTCAAGATTTAAAGATTAAAAAATCATGTCATAAATGCTTTAAAATGTCCAGTCCATGAAACTCTCCCGAAACCAAGATGATGAGTATGTGGACTAAGTGGCATGGAGAATACCAAGGAGCCAAAACCATTTCTTGTAGAGAAAATAATATCTGTGTTAGAGACAGGCTGAGTGGGATATTCACTAAAATGTTAACTTATATTCATAGCATTAATTACATTAATCGTGGTATATTTTTATAGATGTACATTTATCTCTTCCTCATGGTGAGTTTAATACAAGAACACTTAACACGTAATAAATTTACTTAAAATTCTGTTTCTCAACACATAAATGTTGCCAAAGAAAACAATGTCAGAGATGTTTATAAAAATGGATTTATAGAATGGTGTCAGGTTCACTGTAGCTTGTGAGAGAAAAAAAATGTGATTCCAGTTGACAGCACTAGGATTTGTTGTCTAATCTAGAAATCCAAATTTCTTTTCAAATTTGTTTATTACCAAGTGATCTTTATTGGTTTTTTTTGTCCAAAACAATTTTCATGTAAGCAATATCAATGCGACACAAGAAATCAAATATCTGAACATGAACGATGATTTAACATTTAAAGCCAACTTTATGGGTAGTTACTAGATTTAATCTCAGTATCTCAATTCTCTTACCTTTAATTAATGTGTTTTGTTTAAGAGTATTTTGGGATTCAACCTCTCCACCTGGAGTCTCTACAGAAATAACTATTGTCAATGCCAAGGAACTCCCTTTAGAATTGTCACTGACCTATGAGTAGAGAGTGTCCTGTGTTCTTATAAATTATTCCTCATTGCTTTAAGGCTTCTGGAACCATTAGGTGACTCTATTGGCCTATATAGCATGATGGATAGGGACCTTTGAGTATGTGAATGGGTTTCAAATTCCTTTCTAAAGATGGAGAAGCAAATGTAAAATGTTTTTGCATTTATTTTTACTTTTTATCCACTTTTGTTTAGTTTGTCTCTGAGTTGAAGACCTACTAAAAAGATAGAATGAAGAACTAGATCGGTTATTCTGTCCATTCTGAGCTCAAGAGCCCCATAGTCATGTCAGCAAATACACAGGTATGTTATCCATAGTCTGAATGATAATTCTAGGATGAGTAGTAAAATTCTTAAGATTTGGTTAAATGTTCAGTACTGGAGAGGGAAAGATGAGTTTTTACATAATAAGTTCTGATATAATATTTTAAAATAAACTTTCATTTTCTACATTTATGTACAAATATACATATTTGATTTGCCCAGTGTACTAAAAGTAATAATTTATAGTGCTACAAGTATTTTCCCAAAAGAGTATAATTTGAGAAATATAATAGTATTATATATTTAAATTATAAATGGCAGTATATTTCATCCATTTATTTGTAAGCCATTGGTCATGCAACACCAGAAAACCTTTTCATGTTATGAGAGTGAAACAGAAAACAGTTTAAGTTTAGTATAAAAAACATCTAAAATCAAGAAAATGGTAATTATATTTTTTTAAGAAATACTATTTAAATAATACTTTAGTCTGTTCCTTCAAAAAATATCCATACAAGATCTAGTAAAGTCAGAGTATTGTGGTAATTTCTAGGAGAAAAAAATATTTTAACAGTAAAATACATACATGCTGTTCTTGGATTTGAATGTTTCAGTAATGCCTGACAAACTAAAATCTAATAAGTTTTGGTAGTTACTGAATTATATCAAATGAATAAAAAAGAAAAGAATTAAAAGTTTAAACATTATTATAAATGTATAACATTTATAGAATTCAATAAAAGGAAAACATTGCTTTATCTTGACAATATTGGAATACACAGCAGGAATTTGACATTTACATATCTGTATCCACACTGTGAGCAGACACCTTGACACTAGGACTCATAATAAAGAACATATGCAAAACATTGGAAACTACACAAAAATAAGAGAATAGAGGGATATTAAAGAGTAGGTGTAATTCTTTGGAAATTTATCAATCAAGAGAGAGTGGGATCCTGAATACATTGAACTCAATAGAGAAATAATTTTAAGATCAAAATATAATATTTCACAATCTTAGCCAAACCTGAAAGTCTAATGAGCCTTCATTCAAAATTTCACACAAAAATCCAAGCTGGAAAAGATACCTAAGACAGAAAAATATTTGTCAAACTAATTCTATGAAAAGTTATCAATTAGTCACTAAATTCTTTTCTGGGAAACTTATTTTTCAAGAACATATTGACCCTATAGATATTTTTTGAAAAGCACAGAACAGATTCTTTAAATAAGGAAAAATAGACAGACACATATGTTGGTCATGAATTTATACAAATAAATAAAATAATCCATGTCAGTCATCTAGGATTATATTCATACTTACAATCTATGTGTGACTTATTCTCATATGACATAAAATACCATGATGTATTTTAGGAGATTGCTAAGGTAAATTGAAAAAGTCCTTACCTGCTCACTGTAACAAGAGAGGGAGACTTAGACCTATTCTGCTCATAATAGCAATCAAATGTCTTAACAATTTTTGTCTCAGCAGAGAAATGAGAATGGATATTACAAATCACTCTTCAACAATGGGTTTCATCCTGGTGGGATTCTCAGATTATCCAGACCTGAAGACCCTCCTGTTCCTGGTGTTCTTTGTCATCTACCTGGTCACTATGGTTGGGAATCTCGGACTGGTGGTATTGATCTACATGGAACAACGTCTTCACACACCCATGTACATCTTTCTGAGCAACCTGGCTCTCATGGATTCCTGCTGCTCCTGTGCCATCACTCCCAAGATGCTAGAAAACTTCTTTTCTGTGGACAGAAGGATTTCTTTCTATGAATGCATGGCACAGTCCTATTTTCTCTGTTTTGCTGAAACTGCAGACTGCTTTCTTCTGTCAGCAATGGCCTATGACCGCTATGTGGCCATATGCAACCCTCTGCAGTATCACACCATGATGTCCAAGAAGCTCTCCATTCAGATGAGTGTAGGCACCTTCATTGCCAGTAACCTGCATTCCATGATTCTTGTAGGTTGTCTCTTAAGGTTAACTTTCTGTAAATCTATTCGCATTGATCACTTCTTCTGTGATGTTCTTCCACTGTATAAGCTCTCCTGTACAGACACTTTTATTAATGAACTAATGATATATATTTTTTCAATGCCAATTCAAGTCTTTACCATTACCACAGTCTTGGTCTCTTATTTCTGCATTCTTTTCACTATTTTCAAAATGAAATCCAGGGATGGGAGAAAAAAAGCATTTTCTACTTGTGCATCCCATTTTCTTTCTGTGTCAATATTCTACATATGTATTATCATGGATAGTCGACCTTTGGAAGAAGGGAATAAAGATCTATCAGTAGCTGTATTTTATACAATAATAATTCCTTTGATAAACCCTTTTATTTACAGTCTGAGGAATAAGGAAGTAGTAACTGCTATTAAAAAAGTTATAAATACTTATAGCACTTTTATGAAATCTTCAAGCTCTACATCTCACTAGATATAACTCATTAAAATTATTTTATAAATGTGAAATATAAAAATAAAAATATATGCATGAAGATTAGTCCTTAAATAAGTAGACTTATTTACTAAGCAAAATACTCACGAAATTCAAAAATAATTTGTCAATTATTTATCTGAATTATGTAGCTAAAATAAGTCAATGTAAATTTAATAACTGTCATATCTTCACTCATTACATCCATGGGATTTTCCCATAGAATTGCTTCAGTAAATTAATACCACATCATAATTAAATATAAATATTTTAAGATTATCTTGAATTAACATTGTGTAGTTAATTGAACAATGTTGTGTGACCTTTCCATTCTTCTTATTTTATGTCTTTTTAAATTTCTAGGCAAAAACTTGGTGATCGTCATTCAGAAATTGTTCCTTTTCTTCCTTTCTTCCTTCAGTCATTTTTTTCTTTGCCTTGGAATATTTTATAATTCTATTACCTCAAAAATGAATGCTTTGAGGTACAAAACAAATATAACTAAAACAGAAAAACAATGCCATATAAATATATTTACTAGTTTTTGAATGTATCATTTGATACAAATAATATAAAATTATTAGTATTTTGAATATCAATAACTTAAATTTAGAGATTTTAGCATATTTTTCAGATTAAATAAGTTTTAATGATTACTCTTTGAGTAGAATAAATTCAATCTAGAAATTTTGATTTGAAAGATTTATGTAATCTCAGTATTTACTTTTCTAGAGATATGTGGAATTTTTTGTAATATGCAAATCCTCAAAATGGAATTAGACATTTTTTCCAAAGAGGACTCCATTTTCTGTATTTCTACTGAGAAATAAAACAAAGCAAATACAAATTCTACATGAAATCTCCTTTTTACTTAAATGATCATGTGATTACAGAGCTTATGCCTTGATGTTCTCTTAAACATTTAAATATCACCAACCACTTTATGATTGTATTTAAATCTTGCCCCCACACATCACCCCCCCCCAAAATGAAACTAATACCTTGCATCACTTTTTGACAAAGAACCTGTGGATTGACATGATCACATGCACTAAGAGTGCGCCCATTTTTTCTAAAAATGGACCTAGTATCAAACTGAGTCCTAATGACTTTTTTTAACCCATAGATAAATGCATCTCTCAACTCTCATCAGAGATGCTTTCATTTGCAATGGATGGCAATTAATACTGGTATATACACATACCAAAGAACAGAGAACAAGAAGCTTTAGAATATTCAGTCCTAACCAAAACATCTATATTGTTCACCTTCCTCCCAAGGCTTGGATCATTATAAGAGAAGTGGTAGAAAGACTGGAAGAACAAGATGCAGTGGGTGAATACAAGGAAAGAGAGTCCTTCAGGGACAATAGAGAAGCTGCTTATATGCCTATGTTACAGAGATTGTGACAGAATGTCACATATGAAATTTTACATACCAATCCCAGGTCCCACTCCCTACCTTCCTCCCATTCTCTTTGGATACCTACCTTGCTCGCACAATAGTTTTATGGGATGTGGAGATGATGGTAGCTAATCCCAGACAGGATTCTAGCATGGAGAAGTGAGGTGAACTCATCTAGCTGAGCAACTATGGTGATTTATGGCTGCTGAGGAAGGGAGAGTCAGTTTTTCTTAAGAATGCTGCATCCTATACATGAACCATACTCCTTTGAAGGGCTACAAATATCAACACCAATAATTTGTACTTGAAGGGTGAATGAAAAAAGGACACATATTGAATGAATTAATAATACTTCAGAGCAAGTCTCATGATCAGGAGTACTTGGCCAAAACAAATTAAACTCCATGGGCTTTTTTTTTTAGTGTTCTCTTTTCTTTCCATTCTCTTCTTTATTTTTTTCTGTTTTATTTTGGCATTTCCTTTTTCCTATGTTAGTATATTTTTTGTTTTATTTTTTTTTTTTTTTGCACTTTTTGGTTTTAATTTGGATGGGTGGTTTTTTTTTTTCTAGGTTGTTGTTTCCTCTTTTGTCTTCTAGTCTCTGTGGCCTGTGGTTGAACAGGGGCTTTCTGTTCAAGTTGGGGGCTAGACTTCTAGCTACTGGCATGGCAACTTTTTTTTTCTTTTTTTTTTTTATTGCGAAAAGAAGAGAAAAACATAAACAAAAAACAAGTTTCCACCTCCTCCCAGCCTCCCATTTCCCTTCCCCTCCTCCCACCCTTCTCCCCCTCCTCCCACCCTTCTCCCCCTCCTCCCACTCTTCTCCCCCTCCCCCCACTCCTCTCCCCCTCCCTCTCCAGTCCACAGAGCAGTCCGGGTTCCCTGCCCTGTGTTAAGTCCTAGGTCCTCTCCGTCCATATCTAGGAAGGTGAACATCCAAACTGGCTAGGCTCCCACAAAGCCAGCACATTAAGTAGGATCAAAACCCCCTGCCATTGTCCTTGGCGTCTCATCAGCCCTCATTGTTCGCCATGTTCAGAGAGTCCGGTTTTATCCCATGCTTTTTCGGTCACAGTCCAGCTGGCCTTGGTGAGCTCCCCGTAGATCAGCTCCACTGTCTCAGTGGGTGGATGCACGCCTCGTGGTCCCGAATTCTTTGCTCATGTTCTCCCTCCTTCTGCTCCTCCTTGGGACCTTGGGAGCTCATTCCAGTGCTCCTGTGTGGGTCTCTGTCTCTATCTCTATCCATCACCAGATGAAGATTCTATGATGATATGCAAGATATTCGTCAGTATTGCTCTAGGATAGGGTCATTTCAGGTTCCCAATCCTCGGCATGGCAACTTTTAGAGCTGGAATTCTCTGTCTGAGTTGGGTGTTGGGACTCAATGATGAAGACAGGAAGAGGGATTGGGATAATGTTGGGGGCACAAGGGGAAGTCTACTTGGCCACATGCCTGAAGTTCTTGCAGCCAGTATGGCCTATGGTTCAGTACAGAATATTTGCCTAAATTAGGATCTGGAGAACAAGGTGAAGAAAGAGGGAAGAGAAATTATGAATAGCATAAGATGTGGGAAACAAAAGGTTGGAGAACATGGATGGGCAGGCAGCCTACCTGGAGTTGTGGCAGCTGGCATGACCTCTGGTCTAGCATATAGTCTCCACCTGAGTTCTCCTATGTGTTCTTCTCACCTTCACTTGAGCAGGGGATGTCCAACACAGGCAGGGGCTGACACACACAGCAATGAGAGTGGAAAGTTGGGAGAGAAGAATTTTTGAAAACCAAACTAAGGGAATGAGAGAGTTTTAAGGGTGGGCATGGTACCATTTTTTTCTGGCTGGTTAGACATGCGGTTCAGCACTGAATGTCTACACAATTATTATAATGTCACTCATTAGTTTTTTTTTGTTGTTGTTTGTTTTTTTAATACTCATTCCCTCTAAATTTTCTTACTAATTAGTTGAAATTTTACACACCAATCCAGGGTCCTACTCCCTACCCTCCTCCCATTCTCTTTAGATACCTTGCTCACACATTAGTTTTACGGCATGTGGAGATGAAGAAAGATAATAAAGACTCACACATAAAACATAAACAACATGTATTTTTGTTTTATCTTTTCAAGAGTCATACCAGGCAGTAAAAATTTATATCTCCCTAGCAATATGTTATTTGGTCATATCTTATTGTCATTAAAATTTTCTTTTCCTATTGACTTCATTTACTTAATTTCTAGATGACCAAGAGCATTTAGTTACCATAGAGCCATTTGTTACTTCTATCTTGTTCACAAACACATCACCTAATACTGTATGAATAAAGTCTGTAAAAAGGAAGTTCAAAACACCTGAAGGCACCCCTTTTTACTCCATAAGGAAACAAACTAAGTTAAGAGTATTCTGTCTCTCCTTTCTCATCTCTCTTTTCCCTCTCCCTCTTAACTCCCTTCCTCTCTTACTAATGTATTTATTTTCCCTTATCAACCAGTAAAAGAGAAAACTTAGAAAAATTCTCAATAACTCTGAAATGAACTTCAAAGTTCTAGTAGTGTAAACAGAGACTGTTCTTTTATTTTCTGCCACCAGACTGAATAATCATACAGAAACTATTTTAATTACAACACTGCCTTGTCATTGGTTCATACATATTTCTAGCTAGCACTTACGTCTCAAATTAACCCATTTCTATTCATTTGTGTATCACTATGAGGCTGTGGCTTACCTGTAAGTTTCTGGCATTCTTCTCCTTTGTCATCTACATGGTGTCTTCCTGACTTTACTTTTTTTTCCTCCTCTATTTCTGCTTAGATTTTGTGCCTTGCTACATTATGCCTTGCCATAGGAAAAAGCATTTGCTTTAGTAAACAATGGTAATAAAACATTGTCACAGCCTAAACAGGTGAATCACACTTCATCTTTGCTTTTCTGTCAAAATAAACGATTTAACTTTGACATAGTAAAACTACATATAACAGAACAATTATCAAGCAAAAATATAGTTATAATATTTAGTTCATTGACATTTTACAAATTAAGGAAAATACTTTATCATTCTATGTTTGTCAATCTAAGGTTTAATATTCAATTTATCATTAATAATAACTAAGGAAAGCTATAACCATGTGTCTTCTATCCTATCAATGACCCCAGAATAAAATAATATTTCCTAAGTAAACAGGAAGTACATTACAAGTGATTTTCAAAACTACAGAATTGGCATAGATATCTCACCAACTGAACAATCACCCATAGTTCTGTACGATTGGGGCAGCCTACAGACCTATAGTATCTGGCAGACCTTTCCATGACGCAAAAATATGCAAAGACTGTTTCATTTATATTGGCAGTTTGTCAGTCACATTCTTCTGTGTCCTGCAGAATGTCTGGCAGATTCATGAAACAGGAACCCTAAAGGACTGTCTCACCTTCTTTAGGCAAGTTCAACTGTCATTTTAATGTGGGTTCTGCATGTCAAGTTTATAGAGCATACCATCAGGCTGTCAAGGCAAGAGCAGTTTCTTGCCCAAATAGCTAGCCTTGTCTCATTGAAGAAAAATTCTATAATGAGTCTCTTCACTGCCCATCAACCTCTCTGA